ATGAAAAAGTTCTCCCAGACATGGCTTGAATAATGTGTGATTGAAAATAAGTAAAAAAATGCGAATGCAAATTATAATATGGCTCAAACATGGGTTAACAATCCTTTAGATCTATTCCAAGGTTTTGATTGATGTTAACCTCCTATTTGACAATCATTATTTTAAAACTTTTTATTCTACGTACTTATTTCTAACCACACATTTACAAAATAAAATATTCTACAAGTAAATTCAAAATTTTTCCTTACTTTTTAACCACACATTCTCAAAAAATTTAATATTCAAAACTTTGTTTTCTCTAAATAATGGCTATCAAACATGGGTTAAATATTATTTGTCATTTTTTGAATATTTGTATTTTTTTTTTTTGACATAGCATGTTGTGCCACTTTTTAATTAAAATATCACACACAATCAATTTCGAAATGAACAATATATCTTTGACTAAGCTTTCAATTTGCTTATAAGAACTTTTTTAGATGTTAATTTACTTTGTATTGTGTTAAATGTTAACCTTTCATGATAGAGAAAGTGACATTGCTCATCACTTGGTTCAAAAGTGATGTACATCAATTTTAATTAATAATAATGTCACGTTTTCATTAAAAAGTGGTATTGTAGCCATTTTTAATTAAAAAGTTTCAGTTAACTTTATACACAATTTTTTTAACTTCCAAAACACTTTTCATGTGATTTTTTAAAAAGATTCCCGATTTTAGGGGTATTTCTGTAAGTTGTCCTCATTTTTTTTTTTAAGATTGGACTAACCCATTGGCCAATCTTTATAACAGGCTAGTCCAATGGACCACAGTAGTTTATGTGTTGCATTTTTCCATGTTGAGAATTTTTCCCTTTCACTCATAGAAAATAAATATTAAAGAAGGAACATTGATGCTGAAAATTGAGAGACAACCTCGAAACGAGATTGGATATCTCTTAATATTTACTTCCTTTCATGAGAGATCAGACAAATAAATACCAACTGATAAATTCAAGAAGATCAAATGTTAGTTGATAGTTGAATTCAAATATTTCTATATTAAGAATTCGTGGTTCTCTTATCCCTCGGTGTGAAGTTCATGACAAAATTTATTAAGGGCGTGTTTGATACGCG